GGGACGCGCCCCCCCACCGCCCCCCCCCCCCCCATAAAGGCCCAGCCCCCGGGGCGGGAGGGGGTCGCGTGCCCGGCGACAGACGCGCCCGCCAAGGAGGGGAGGGGGCGGAGTGGCCGGGGCGCGTGCCTCCGCCTGCACGTGAGAGTCTCCCTCCCTCGCGCTGGGGCCGGCGCTGTCCCCTGCTAATGACACCGCTGCTGCAGGGAGCGTGACTTTGCCATTCCCTTCCTGGGTCTCCCGCCGCGGGCAAGAGGCTAATTACCAGCTGGGGATTCGGCCACTCCCCCCCGGGCCCTGCTGGGAGCCAGGCTGCCCGTGTTCTCTTCCCCACCAGCTTGGTGGCTTGAAAGGATGGCCGGTGAGTAGGGTTTCTTTCTCTCGCTCCCTGGGGAGCTTGCTAATTAACTAGGCATCGTTGGGATTTTTTTTTTAAAAGCCCCTTGTCTTGAATCGAGTGCACCGGGCGTGTGCTAGATCTGTACAGGGATAGGGGAGGCACCTCCCTCCCATGGGTTTAGAAAGCATACCTATTTCCCAGTGCTTTTCTCGATAAAGACAATACCACTTAGTGTGCGCAATATTTTTTCACAATAGAATAATACTCTGCTGTAATTGGTAGGCCTGGATTAGGCTTTAAGCCATCTGGTTGGTAGGTGCTAACCTCATTTATCTATTACACATGCAAATATCAAGTCCCTTACCTGGTTTATCAGTAGAGATTTCAAATAGTCACAAGATCATGTTTGGTGTCAAGTATGCTTATGGGCTTGCTTTATTTGAATGAAGAAAAGCTCTGTTTTATGTTGCTAGTAGTTACACTGGCATGGTTTTTTATTAGCCCTCAGCTTCAGAAAAAGCTTAATAGTAATTGTCTCTAATAGAGACACTGGGGTTTAATTTTCCTGCATGCTCCTTCCCAGGAAGGATTATCACTGCCTAATTTGGTGTCATCTGCTTGCTAGAACTGAGCCACAGTTCCTCTAGGCTTAGCAGTTCATAGCACCAGCACCTCTAGCCTTCCTGCATCAATTATAAATGTAAAAAGATTACTTGGGGTCCTGCACCCCCTTTGTTAAAAAGTAAGCACTTCCCAGGGTTACTGTGAGGTAGAAGTTGGGGGGAAGAAGGTTTCTCACATCAATTAGAAAGGATTCCTCTGAACAATTAAGAAGCATCACTGAAGGCTTTGAGAATTCTCAGTTCTGGACCACAAAGATGGTGGCAGTGATAAAGAATCATTAAGTGTTGGAAATGATGCATGGAAGGAATAGTGTAGAAGGAAGTTATAAATAATAAAAGAAACCATTTTAGGTATCCTTATTTGTCAAGAAGAATAATTATGCAGATGTTTGAGTTGGTTTTGGTAGCATGCTAACCTGTGACTTATGGAAATCTGATGATGAATTGCATGGGATCCTCTTACCTATCCCTCCAATGTCAGAATTTCCAGCAGCTCTGTAACCAAATTTAGTAATTGTTTTTAAAAATAGAGATGTTAAAAATCCTGGGACTATATATGTAGTGCAGTAGAATCCTGGTTAACTGACTGTCAAACCCAGTTTACCATGTTATATGGTTTTCACCTTGATCATATTGAGAATTATAAGTCCTGAGCTGACTTTTCTGAGATTAGACCATATGTTGCTTTTCAGTTGAAAATAAATACAAATCAATAGCTGTTACTATGGTTAAGTAGTAATTTGAGTACTATGCAAAACAATATTTAATAAAGAAAACTGAAGTAAGGATTTGCCTCACTGTAAAATTTGATTATTTTCTGATTAGACTGACCAGTGTGTCCAGCTTAAGATTTCAGGGGAGCATCTGTTCAATAGCTGGACAATGTTAGGCCCTCATCCTGCCAACTCTTATGTAAGTGTGTAACATTAAGCAGATGGTGGTTTGTTTGTAGTGTTCTAGCTAAAGAAGCATTCTAAGCAAAAAATATAAATGACCAGTGGAAGTTGGTCCAGTAAAGGGATGAATCACTTGCTTAAAGTTAAGCAGTTAGATGAGTATTTGCGGGTGCCAGGCCAGACTGATTATTCTTAAGAACATAATATGAGACTGGACATACTGAATCATACCAGTGAACCAGCTAGCCCAGTATTTTGTCCTCCGACAGTGGCCAATGCCACTGTCATTGCTCAGGAAGAAATGAACACAGCAGGGCAATTGAGTGAGCCATCCCCTGTCCTCTAGTTCAACCTTTTGGTAGTCCAGAGATTTAGAGACGTGGGATTGGATCCCTCACCATCTTGGCAAATAGCCACTGCTGAACTTACCTGATTCTTTTTTAACTCAGTTACGCTTTTGACCTTCACAAAATTCCTTGGCAGCAAGTGCCACGGATTGCCTGTATTTATGAGGAAGCGATTCTATTTGTTTTAAACCTGCTGCCTATTAACTTCAGCAGTAACCCCTAATTCTTGTGTTATGCGAAGGGTAAATAACACTTCTCTATTCACTTTCTCTATACTGGTCATGATTTTCCAGACCTCCTGTTACAGTTGCACCCTCCCCCCAACAGTTTTTTTTCAAAAACTAAACAATCCCATTCTTTTTATGTCAAGAACTGCACATAGTATCCATGGGGTCTGCGTGCCATACATTTATATAGTAGAATTATGATAAGTATTCTTATCAATTCCTTTTCTTATGGTTCCTCACATTATTAGTTTATTTTTTGACTGCTGCTGCACATTGTGGTTTTTCTCTTTTCAGAGAACTAATCACAATGATTCTAAGAACTTACTTGCATAGTAAAAGTTAGGGATACTTATAGGTTACCCAGTTAATCTTTCAAATCACCCTAAATGGGTAATACTTGCTGGCTCTAGCTAACTGGCGGGGGCTGGCACTTCCCATCTGCCCCAGCACTGCAGGGTGGGGGGCTGCTGGAGGCAGTGGCTGCTCTCGCAGGGGCTGGGGCAGTAACAGCTAATTTAGACCCTATCTTATTGTATGACCGGTTAGAATTATTTTTTCCAAAGTACTTCCAATGTGGTGGGCTTCTTTGGCATTTTCCCCCTACATGGAAATTAAACTTAATTATGTTTGCCATAACTGAGCATTTCAACTATGCTCATCTCTTGGACTAAATCCTGTATTCCATTCAGGACTAAACCAAGAATTGCCTCTCTTCTTATGGAGCAGCTTGTCCTGAACTCATAACACTTCTAAACACGAGGGCTGCGTCTAGACTGGCATCATTTTGTGGAAATACTTTTAACGGAAAAGTTTTTCAGTTAAAAGTATTTCCTCAAAAGAGCGTCTAGATTGGCATGGATGCTTTTGCGCAAAAGCATCTGTGCTCAGTATAGATGTGCTTTTTGCACAAGAAAGCTCTGATGACTATTTTAGCCATCGGGCTTTCTTGCGCAAAAAATTAAGGTGCCTGTCTACACTGGCCCTCTTGCACAAGTATTCTTGCACAAGAGGGCTTATCCCTGAGCGGGAGCATCAAAGTATTTGCGCAAGAAGCCCTGAATTCTTACATTAGAATGTCAGTGCTCTTGTGCAAATTCAAGCAGCCAGTGTAGACAGCTGGCAAGTTTTTGCGCAAAAGCAATTGCTTTTGTGCAAAATCTTGCCAGTCTAGACGCACCCATTAGCTGTCTGTTGTCTTTCTAAGGTTACATATCTAGTACATATGAGAATAGTTGAAATTCCCCATTACTATTGTTTTATGCCTTTGTAGTCCCTCCAAGTTCCCTAAGCATTTTACAATCACCATTGCCATCCTGGTAAAGTGGTTGATAGTATATTTCTTCTGCTAGACCAGGGGTGGTCAAAAGCTTCTCAGTGGGCCAGATCCAGCCTGCCTAGAACTTTGATCTGGCCCATGAGGCAGTTCCAGGCCCTGCCCCCTAGTGTGTTGCCTCAGAACAGGAGAGGGGCACAAGCCCTTCTATTTGCTTCTATTTAAAGGGCTCACCTCTTCCCCGCTCCTTGCCTAGCAGCTGTGGGGAAGAGGTGAGCCCTTTAAATAGAAACAGTTGAAAGGGCTTGGTTTCTGTCTCTGTCTCTGTGGCAACATGGTAGAAGCCTTGGAGCTGTGAGCCCTTTTAAGTGCTTCTGTTTAAAGGGGTTGGCACCTTCCCTGAGCTTATCAGGCAGCTGTTGCTTAGCAGCTGTGGGGAACATGAGAGCCCTTTAAATAGAAACAGCTGGAAAGGATTGCATGTTTCCAGCAAGGGCAAGCACAAGCCCTTTATACTAGGGATGTAATTGACTAATTAGTCAATAGGGTGCCTCTGCCTTTGAAGTGTAGCAACAGCCAAATAGTCACTCCTTTGCAAACTTCTTGTATTCTGCTCCTGCTCGCTAACCTTTTGTATTAAATAACTCCAAATTGTCACCTGTCAGCTGACTGTTAGGCATGGGGCCTCATTGGTGACAGCTGCTTTGTCTTGTCCGGCTCTTGGATACTCTGTTTCGAAACCTGACAGAGACCCTTGTGCAGCTGTGTGGTTTACCTGCTGTAAAAGAAATAGTATTGCATTGTGTCTGAGATTCTAAAGTTATGGTTTAGCTGGCACTTCTGTTCCAGAACTTTTGGCTATATCTAAAGTTGTGTTCATCTAGGCCAGTGAAAGACAGCAGTGATACTGTTTGCCTGTAATGGTTTGTAATGCTTTTTCTCCTTGGGATAGTTCAGTGCATCCTCACAAAAGCACACTTTCCGGGAGTGGGTGAAGAGGAGACTTGCTATATGCTTCAGAGAGTATATATAGTATAGGCAGGAATAGTTTGGTTATTTTGTTAACCTCTAACAGTATACATGTAAACCCATAAATGTATACATGTAAACATTTATCCACCAGTATGTCCCTAAAGGTTGAAGTTGGGTCAAGCATCCTCCAGGATTAAATATAACTTTTTCTTGGCCATCTCTCACAGCCAAAATGCTTAGCTCTGCAGTTGGGAGCAACAGCTTTTAGATAACTTCTAAATTGTTAACCTTCACTATGTGAAGGTATTCTAAAGTTAGTCAGTCTGGGATACTTATACCTTTAATTAGTAACTAGTACTTGGGAACTCCAGTCATAGGTCAGGGCCAGACTGTGCTAGGCACTGTGAAGACACAAAGAGGTGTTCCCTGCCCTACTGCCTGGCTGCGTCTAGACTGGCCGCTTGAATTTGTTCAAGAACACTGACGATCTGATGTAAGATTGTCAGTGTTCTTCTGCAAATACTATGATGCTCCTGTTCCGGGGGGGGAAGCCCTCTTGCGCATATGTATTTGTGCAAGAGGACCAGTGTAGACTGCTCAGGACTGTTTTGTGCAAAAAAGCCCTGATGGTGAAAATGGCAATTGGGGCTTTCTTGCTCAAAACTGCATCTAGACTGGCACGGATGCTTTTCCGCAAAAAGTGCTTTTGCGCAAAAGTGTTCGTGCCAATCTAGATGCTCTTTTCCGCAAATGCTTTTAATGGAAAAACTTTTCAGTTAAAAGCATTTGCGGAAAATCATGACAGTCTAGACGCAGCCCCTATGTATAAGATGAGACCATAAGTATCTGTAGCAAATAAGTGATGAAACACACAGTACCAAGGGAACCATACTGGTGATCACAAAAATAGTAGTACTGTACAATGCACCAGGTGTTTAAATACTGTCCAGTTCTTGCAGGCATCACACCAGAGTTTACCAGTCCTAGTCTTGATTGCTTCCAATGTCAGTGTGAACCTCAACATGCCTGAGAAAACCGTGCTGCCGCTCTGTTGGTTTTATAGGGGGGGGGGGGGGGAGAGGAATGAATGGGGTTGCTGATCCTCAGAAAAGGCAGTAGCAGAAGTTACAAAGGACATAACTCCAAGTACTTTATCTTCAGCATTCCACAGCTTGAAAACCATTATTTGCTGGGGATATTGGGGTTGGATGAGACCTCAGGAAGTCATCTAGTCCAAACCTCTGCTTGAACTAGGACCAATGCCAACTAAATCATTTCAGCTAGGGTTTTGTCAAATTGAACCTTAAAGCACAAAGTTTTGATGAAGGAACACACTGTTCTTTTAAAACTAAGTCATTATCATTACAATGCATACTAGTGAGACTCTTCAAAATATACAATTAAAGTTAACTTACATGCCATAAACCCTGGACCAAAACTGAAGGCCAAACTTTGCCTGCTTTACTACTCTTACACGTCCTTTGGAGTCAGAGAATGAAACCTGGTTCCATTAAATGTAATGGCAAAGCTGAGTTCATGTGGGCAGTATTATACCCAATAAGACTACTTGCATGGGTATATATGGTGAATCTAGCCCTTAATTTTAAAGATAATTAATGCAGTTTGAAAGGTCTCCTGGGTTACCCTAAAAATATATATTAATTATAAGTGAATACAAATTCTAAATTGGGGAAACTATCAAGCCATGCTTCATATGTAAAAAGCCTAAATTTTATTGTTACTTTGAAGGATGTCAGGTTTCAAAGTAAAAAGAAACAAGTTACCCCATATGGAACATTCATAGATTAGTGATGCTCATGAGTGGGTTTTTTTGTGGGGGTGTAACAGAAAGCATATGTTTTTTTGTTTGCATCCACAATATTCTAAAGTGGCATGATTTTAATCAGTAATTATCTACTATATACTTGAGAGAGTTTGTCCATGTGTCTGTCCATATGTTTTTTCAAGAACTCCTGCTAATGGTAAGAGCTAGGACCACCGGTTTCAGTATGTGGCTTCCTCTTGTCATAACTTAAATTAAAGCAAGCTCAGGGTTTGGTTGTGCTAGGACAATGGGATATGCCTCAAATAGGATTGCTTCTCATGAAATGGAAAGGAAGGGCTCTGCTATAGAATTACTAAATGGGGATATGGGATGCACAGCAGGGACTGTTTCACTGTATAATGACCGGGGAGAGGAGGGGGAAATGCAGCAAGGAGCCAGAGATGGAGACTGGGACAGTAGTTTGCTTCATTTCTCACTCTGCCTGCGGAATGCAAGGGGCAGACAAACCTGGACATGCCCTAGCTGCGGGACATGCACCCCTACCTTGGCTGTGCCCACTGGAGCTGCAGCAGCCATGAAGAAGCACTTCTCACCTGGCCACAAGCTGCTGCAGTGAGGGAGAGCCAGGGTTGTCATCTCTCCCTGGGGCAGCCTGCATACCGACACCCTCATCGTTGCCCCATCCCTTATAACAATGATTTACTTGAAGCATGTACATCGTAATTTTATTTTCTTAAAAAAAAAAAAAATGAGTTAAGGACCTGAGCAATGCTGGGGTAAGTCTTCTATATACTGTAGTTAAATAGACCTAACAAAGGTATTCCAGGATGCAATTAAATATAAAAAAGGCCTCTTGTTTGAAGTGTCAAATGTAAAATGTTACTGTTCACAATGTAGTTCATTTATTGTAGCTCTTGTGATAATTTTGGTTAGGAATATTCTGAGCATGAGAATGTCAGAGGCATAAGTTGGAATAACAAGTTGAGTAATTCACCTGTTTTTAGAGAGATTGTGTAAATATTCAAGTTTGGTAACAAGTAGCTTTCTTTAAAAAAAAAAAAAAAAAAAAAAAAAGAAAATGATAGTTTGGCTTCATGGTTCTTTTTAAAATAGTATATTAAGATTTAAGCTCCTATTTCATGGTTATTTTCTGGGTTGAGAAGAGTACATTTCAGTTTTAATTCCTCTGAGTATTGTAGGTTTTTTTAATTTTTTTTTTTTTTTTTTACATTTTTGGGTCAACAGTACCCGTGGTGCATATTTCTTATCTAAGAAATGTCTCTTCATCTTTTCCCTTTGAAAGCTTCATTTATTAGCATTGCTAAAGCAACGTCCGCAGCCATTACTTTTTTTTTTTTTTAAATAAATGCTTGATCTCTATGTGGGTCATCTTTATTTATAGCTTTTTTTTCTAAAAAAATGTTAAGACTATGTCATCTACTCGCAATTGATTTGAATGGTTCTAGTCTGGATCTTGCATTGCGTGCAGTTTAAGTTTAAAAAAACCTCTGTAATCAAACATTAGGGAAATTGTGTTTTAATTAAGGAACGGTTAATATACTAGTCAGGTAGTCGAATTTCCCTCGACTAGTCAATAGGCACTTCTGCATTCCTTGTTTGACATGTACAATTCAAATGAGGAATGCGGAACTGCAGCCTGGGACCAGGGAGAAGACCCGCTGACTCTGGGCTGCAGGCAGCACACCAGCTTTGAATTGTACAAGAGCCCCCGTTGGGCTCTGCCCTCATTCATCTGAGCCATACAAATTTGACCCGACCTTTGCCACATATAATGCCTGCTCCCCATGTATGTATTTTTGTTTTCTCAGGGTGGGTTTTTTTTTTTCTAGCCTTGGAAGCTCTTGGCTTCTGAATACATTTTGAGCTGTTTTATCTAGGCCATGTTTGTGTACACAAACTGTGCCGGTGCTGCTGTGAAATGGCTCATTTAGCTGCTGAGTGAGCGCTCTCATGTCAGCATAATTAAACCACCTCCAACGAGCAATAGTAACTATATCAGTGAGAGTGTCTGCTGCCAACATACTGCTGTCCACACTGGTGTTTCTTTTGGCGTAACTTACGTTGCTCAGAAGGGTGGAGGTCTTGCTCACACTGCTGAGCGCCATACCTAGTTAAGTGTTAGAAATAGCTTTACACTGGGACTGCGTCTACACTGCAGGCCTTTTGTGCAAGAAGCTTTCTGCGAAAGATCTTCCACAAACTTCCTGCGCTTTGAGGTGTGGACAAGAGAGCAGCCACACTGCATGAATGCTCTAGCGCAAGAAAGCTCTGATGCCATTCACAGAATGGCCATCAGAGCACCTGGGCTTTTTTGGATCGGCTCTATTTGCACAAGAAACCCCTGCAGAGAGTCCACACATGCTCTTTTGTGCAACAGTTGTAGCATAAAAAGTAGTTATGCCTCGTAAAAGCTTTACCTACATTCCAAAAGCCCTGTGTTCTGCCATTTTACTGTTGATTTACTTGCGCAAAAGCGCATTTGAGGTGTGCATGCGCTGAAGGTTTTTGCGCAAAAACCTTGCATTGTAGACCTAGCCTGAGCAAATAGGTTCCTCTTTCAACTTATATATGTTGAGTAACTTTTAATATCAATCACTCTTAGGGTATGTCTACACTGCATTCCTCTTTTGAGAGAGCAATGCAAGTGCAGCTGAGCAAAATTGCAAGTGAAGCACAGATTTGAATTTCCTGTGCTTCATTTGCATAATCGTGTCTGGGCACTATTTTGAAATGGGGTATTTCGAAATGGTGCCTGGCTGCAATTATGCAAATGAAGTGTGGGAAATTCAAATCTGTGCTTCACTTGCAATTTCACTCCACTGCATTCCTCTTTCGAGATACCGTTAGTTTTAAAACATTACACCTTTAGATTCTTATTTCTGGGTAGAAATAATAAATGCATTAAATTAAATGCACTTTATTATCTCTTACCACTTAATTAGTATGTACGTACTATATTCCTCTAGAACAGTTTGCTTCACCCAGTAATGCTGGTTTTGCCTGGAGCTGTTAATATAGTATGTACTGTGCTTTTGAGAAATTCCAGTTGAGATGGTCACTTTGAGGAAAATCTTATGCCATTGCTGGTATAACTTGCTTCTGCATAGTGGCCTGTACTTTTAAGTGGTGGGGCTGATTTAATAATTCTGCCAAAAAAATATGACTGACAATATCCAACAGTTTGTGGGAGTCAGTGGCATATGTCTGACAAGCCATCTCCTGGTCAACTGTGGCCTTGTGAGCCTGGACATCTTGGCCAATGGGCAGCTCACTCACAGGAGATGCCAGTCACCACTAGCTTTGTGAGCTTAGTTTTCCCCAACAGAATTCCTATTAGAAAGCAAAAACCTATTACATGATGATGTTTGTTAATAGGCTTATATCACCAGGCAGAGACCCTGGAATAATGATGTGAGCTCAGTGAACAAAATAAACAGCTGTTAGTGCAATGAAGTGTGGAGACTGCTACAGCACCAATGGAGGAGGTAGGCTGTTTTATTTCCTTTGGGGCAAGAAGCACAGGTATGAACATTTTGTAGACCTGGGAGTTCCTGATATGGAGGGTGGTCACAGAAGACCCCTTGAGATGATTTGAGCTTTGGTCTGGAAACAAACTGAGAAAATATAAATGAGGAAAATATAACTGTTTGGCATTTTCTAAATAAGATGTAATGTAGATTGTGAAGTAATGTCAGTGTCTGGTATTTTTGTTGAAACCATCTGGCAACCCTACCTGAAGGGAATGGGAAGTTGCCAGATGAAGAATCTTCTATATTGTCTATCACAATCTTGCAAGGACAAGAGGAAGAAAAAAGAACCCCATAATACTTCCAATATCCATAGAAATAGTCATCAATGACAGAAAAGAGAAATTGCTTTTATTAATCAAAATTGAAATAAGAGGAAAGCAGATCACATTTCAGTTTGCAGAAGCTCTCTATTTTAAGAACAGAGGTTGTCTTTTCTCCATTTTTCTTTTTACCAAGTCTAGAATTTCACAGTGTACTCTTCTACACCACCTGTATGAACAATGAGTTATACAACAAAGGGATAATTATAGAATTTAAAAATAAACTACAAGCAGAACGTAGTATCTTAGAATTAACTTCTGACAGCCCTTTTAACTGCAGTACTACATGGTATTTCCCCCCACATAACTTTAGTTATTCCTTGACCAACTATCTCCTCTGCAAAAACTGATTCCTTTACTAGACAGCATCAGATCAGTAAATCTGATTTTAGTTTATTTCCCTCAAAGTTTTTCATGAGAACTGTCAAACTATATACGCATCTGTTGTAACAGTATAATTTTCTTTCGAGAAAAGAGATGACAGAGCATTGAGAAGAAATATGCACTTTTCCCCCAGACTTCTGTCTTGGAGAATACTTTAAAACATACAGCAGACTTGTCCATTGTAATCCTCTAACAGTCATGTATTAGCACTGAGGTGTTTGAAATTATATGTGGAAGACTCCAAGATGTTTGGTAGGAAAATGAAAAACTAGTTGGGGCAGAGGTAATATCCCAGGGCCGGGTCACTAAAAATAGCTACTGTGGAGCTGCGGTGCTGGGTTCCAGTCCCAGAACATTGTGGCAGTCACTTCTAGGATACCATGAACCAGGTTCTGCCTGCCAATATACTAGTGTGATACTAAATGGCTGCTCTGTGGTGCTCTGCACATGTATCCAAAGGCAGAATTTGACTCCAGCCACATTCTCAAACTTCTCACAAATTGAGAAGTAAGAACCAGATACACCCACCTGTAAATGGTTTTTAGCAGTCTGGCTCAGTCCCAGTTTGCGCCAGGTCCAGGATCTACCACTGCTGTAACTCTCTGCATTTAAAGTGTATTAGGAGCTAGGTGGGCAGGCAGCCTGGCTCGGTTCTGGCTCACGCTGGGTCCAGGAGCTCAGGCACCCTGTCCCTGGACAAGGGCTGCTGCCATCCCGCACTGATGCCTCTGTATCAGGAGGCACAGGGTGGCAAGCCAAGCAGCTGGTCCATGAGGGGGAGTCTGGTGTGTGTGTGTGTGTGTGTGTGTGTGTGGTATGTTTGTTTTTTGTTTTTTGTTTTGTTTTGTTTTGTTTTGTTTTTTTTTAATAAACTGGCTGCCCTCGCAGACCAGCTCCCCTCGCAGCCCCGCCCCTGCCTGTCCCTCTGTGCGGCTGCCTCTGATACAGAGGCAGCTGTGCAGAGTGTCTGAGGGCTCCTCAGGAGTGGGGCTACAGCATACTGGCTGCCAGCCCCACCCTTGGAGACTATAGAATAGTCAAGTAACTGATACGAATTTATGAGTTAATTAATCAACTATTCAATTTACCAGTATTGAACATCCCTACATCAGACTTCTGGTGCACCAGTAATGGCTGTCATTAGAACATTTAAAACAACACTCACTTCCTGTTTCTAACTTCACATACAAGAATCCTATGTGCATCAAAACCGGGTATGCAGACTGCAGCATTAAAGTGGATAAGGTTACATGATGTATTTTGTCTGAAGCATCTTGGAGTTGTGCATATTTATATTCACAAATCAACTTTCATAAAGCATGGGAGAGAGTCGTCATAGGGTCCTTGCCATCTGAGGTAAGTTACTCCTGCTGGGGGCTGTGTGCTGGCATGCCAAGGAATACCTATTTACCAAGCCAGCCTAGTAACTCTGTTAAGGTACTTTTCTCTCTATCCTTTCTGAATATTGTTTCGATTAGAGGTCAGGAAAAGAGGTGGATTTAGCAATTTCTTGTCTTCTGCCTGTACAACATGCAGCAGTGTGTTTTTTGTCTGATTAATGACGAGTGAGACAATTTGCCTAACTAGTTGGATTATACAGGCCAGACATCTCTTATCTGGTACCCCCGGGACCTGACTGGTTCCATACCAGGGAATTTGCTGGACTAGAGACTGTTCTCTGCCATAGCCTCCAGCTGGTGACTCTGCCAGCTGGGAGGAATAGGCAGAGAGACGCCCTCCAGCCCCTGCTGGGCTGCCTGCTGCATTGCTGACCCCACTGCTGCCAGGCTTCAGCAGCCCACACTACCACAGGCTGCCAGGGTCTAAGGTTGCCAGGCGTCTGGTATTGGCCTGGACTGTCCAGTTTAATAATAAAAAAAAAAAACCCGAAAATACCAGCCATGTAAAGTGTCTGGTATCTTCTGGTTGTTTTTTTTTTTTTTTTTTTTAATTAAACTGTGGCTTTTCTTCCCTCCCCTCTTATTCCCCCCACCCCTTTTTTTTCCCTCCTATCCAAATTTTTTTCCCAACCAAATTTTTAAGTATCTGGCAACCCTACTAGGGTCTCAGGCTCCAGTCATAGCCCTGCAGCAGCCTGCAGGCTTTGGCCCTGCTTCTGCGGGCCGTCCAAGGCTCCGGACGCATGCTGCTGTGAGCTGCTGAGGCTGTCCAGCCCCAGCCCCATTCCCTCTACTATGGGCTGCCGAGAGAGTGGACTCTTGCTGCACAGCAGCCCACAGGTGCTAGCCCTGCTTCCACAGGCTGTCGAAGGGTCCAGCTCCATGCGGCTGGGGGCTGCTGCCAGCCCCAGCTTTTGTCCGGCTTCCACAAGCTGCCCAGGGCTCGGGCCCCAGCCCTGTACTGCCATGGACTGTTACCGGCTTGATCCTGTGCTGTAAGGGATGCTCTGCAGCACTGAGACCGGGTCAAGCTGTTGTGGGGGCTGCTGCCAGCCCCTGCCCCATCTTGCTGTTTCAACCCAGCTCCTTCAGGATTGCTCTCCTGCCACTAGGCTACTGGGGTTCTCTGATCCAGATGTTGCCAGACCAGAGAGTTCTGGTTTTGGAGGTGCAACCTGTACTGCATGCATACATGATTGAAAAGGTACGCTGGCATGATTTGGCAATGGTGTTGTGGGACAACACCGCGGAAATGACTTGTTTATAAATCAATTTTAAGGTGAGTCTACAAACTCACAGCAGATATTAACCTAAATGAGGGGTTAACAAACAAATGGACATGTTCTACAAATGTGTGCCTGGAATTCTCTATGCAGTTTTGCCTTTTGGCAGGGAAAGGAAAGGAGCTTATCATAGAGCACAGGTTCTTATAAGCTATAGTCTGTTTGTTATCTGGAGGAGAAGATGGATGGTGGAATGCTGCCAAGAACACTTGAATTGTACGGGTAAAATAATCATTCTAAATATTTGTTTACAGTAGCAGATCAGGCATTTGTGACCCTTGGTAGTGACGATGATTATTGCCAAGGAGCTCTGGTTCTTGGGCAATCCTTGAGGAATCACGTGACATCTAGAAAGCTGGCTATACTAATTACACCACAGGTCTCCAGTGTGATGAGGTAAGAATTCACAATCTCAGCTGTAGTTAATGTGAAAAATAATCAGTTGCAAACAAGACTTTCCTTGACTTTGTCATAATAACAAATAAGCCTGCAGTGTGTTTAGTTTAATTCCTACCTTAGTTTCTTGCTATTCAAAGAAACTAAACCCAAGGTTTTAAAAAACATTCAATGTTTTTTCCACTTATTGGCAAGAATAATATTTTTCCAAAGTATCTAAATGACTTGAGTCAAAGTGAAAGAAGGGCTTTGGTGCTTTTTTTAAAAATGTTATTCAACAACAAAAAATCCCACTCAAACAAAATGTTAACACACACATACCTACCCCCCAAACCCTATTTCTATGACGAATTCTGAGATCCAGTTAGTCCTTCTGAGGCATTATCTACACTTACTGGGGGACTGTGGGGCTTAATCTCCTGGGATCAATTTTGTGGGTCTTATGAGGACTCGCTAAATCAACTGCTGATCATGCTTACTTTAGTCCAAGAAGAGAAAGGGGAGTTGACAGTGTTTCCTGTGGAACCCCTTCCCCCTCCCCACAGTGGAAGTGCTGTTGTAACTTAATTTAAGGTACTCTTTTTCAAATAGCTGGAGTTCCAAACCTTAGTTCAACATTGCCCCCTAGTGTAGACCTGGCCTCAGTTCCAAGTTTCTGAGTTCAGGGTTTGTGTCTTATTCTCTTTTTGTACTGTTGGTGATCTAAATAAATTACCTTAAAGATTTTATTCGTGTTCCAGGCTTGTAAATGTTGATCATAATAATCCACTTCAATACGGTCTAGAAAGGTTTTGTTAATGATTCAAAAGACACACACTTCAATTTAATTTTTTTTTGTGAAGTCTTGAAGCAAAAGTAAAATAGGGATCACATATATTTTAAACCGGTATAACCAATAAGCACAGGGAGGTGCAGATTAGGGATGTTTAAATATCAGTTAATTGAATAGTTGATTGACTTCATGAATTATTATTGGCTAGTTGACTATTCTACAGTCCCCTGGCAGCCCTTGTCTGGGTTGGGGGGGAGAGGGGTCTGAGCTCCCAGACCTGGCATGAGCCATAACTGAGCTCGGCTGCCTGGCTTCTAACACAATTTAAATGCAGAGTGGCAGTGGGGGTAGGTCCAGGACCCAGTGCAAGCCAGGACTGAGCTGGGCTGCTGGCCAGCCTGCTAAAAAAATTACTGGCAAGGGGTGGAGTGGTGGAGGAGAATGCATGTAGTCTATAGCATTAACCAATAAGCAGAAACTTATTGGTTAATCAACTGTACTATTACATCTCTAGTACAGATAGCAGGCCTTGCTGTTATAGCTGTCCCCAGGGAGGGACCATGCACTGCAGAAGTGGCAGATAATGGGGTTCTGCATAGCTATGCAATGAGAAGGCAGCTTCACTGTCTACTTAGAAAATGCTATATTAGGGTGCACTGAAAAGGTGAGGGTCCTAGTCACACCATCTTCCCCAGCCAGAACAACCACTTACTGAGATGCACTGGTCCTTAGTAGAAGGGAGTTTGTAACTTGCACCCCTACTGTTACCTCTAGGGCCGAGTTCTTGTTTACATCTGGGTTTACACTCTCTAGTTTGTATGTGGCTTTTTTTTTTTTAAATAAGTACTGAATATCCTTATAGGCCCACTTCTCTTCATGCCAGAATTTTTGCACTGTTAAACTGAAAAATGTTACTAAATTGTATTGTATTCCTGTATTTTTGTTTGCTTTGTCAGGGCTGTGCTCTGCAGTGTGTTTGACGAGGTGATTGAAGTGGATGAGATTTACAGTGCTGATTCAATGCACTTGTCTCTGCTGGAGAGGCCAGAGCTGAGTGTAACCTTCACCAAACTTCACTGTTGGACTCTCACTCAGTATAGCAAATGTGTCTTTATGGATGCAGACACTCTGGTGAGTAGAATGGTTATCATGTTACTGGGGTTCAGTGATATTAAATTCTAGCAGAATGTATTCAGTTGTCAAGTCCAGAGTGGTATCACTCAGCGTAAGGGGACCCAAAGATCAAGAGTTTGTACTGCAATAATCCCCCATATTAACAAACTGTGCAAACTCCCCCCCCCCCCACAAAAATGATTCCCATGGGCCATGCTGTATACTTAAGCAGTTAATTTTGTTGGGCCAGCTTATTGTTTATATTAGAAATAAAGTTGAATAGTTGTCTCGGACTGAAAAAATAAATTGAGGTGTGGTCCTATATTTTGTGTTTACCAAAAAGATTTAGGAGAAGTGGTGTGGTGTGTGTGGTTTGTTTGTTTGTTTATTTATTTATTTATTTATTTTATTTTTTAAATTGAATTTTGCCTTTTTGTGGTAAACATTTATTCACTATTTTATTTCTTACAATTTTATGATTGCATGGCCCAGGTACTCTTTAGGCCAGATGTTCAGTTAATATAGCATCTCTCCCTTGACTTTGAAGTATTAATCCAGGATTTCAACAGTGGAGGATTTGGTCTTCAATGCTGTAGTATTAACTGAGCAGTCACTCTTCAAAGCTTAAAAGAAAGAAATCAGCAAACACGAGGCAAACAGTTCCAAAAATAAACCCAAACAATATTTAAAAAAAAAATAGTGCTCCACTCAGCCAACTCCCCAAGTCCATGCCAAACCAGATCTTTCAGACACATGGCTTTCCCCAATCCTTATTACTTGCCCAAACAGATGGGCTCTGCAGCATGCCCAGAAGTATTCTTTCTCTCCAGCAAGGCCTGTGTACTCTGTGGTGTAAATATGGTGTTTTTCTTGTTGCACTAGAGTATTATGAGGTATTTGCCATTTAAACCTGGGGAGGATGATGTAATTTCATTAGTCAGTATTTTGCCATAGAAATTAAGGAAAGTTATAAATGAAAATTCTAATCCACATCCTCTTTTATGTTGTCACTGTTTTAATGTGCTCTAAAATCTTGGTGCTTCCCTGACAAGGATAGTACAGGGTGAACCTCTCTTGTCCAGGACTTTCTGGTCCAGCAACATCTGTGGTCAGGGAGGACCACAGGTGTTGCTACACCAGAAAGCCCTAGAGGTTGAACATTGTTGGGAGCAGAGTTGTTCTGGTTCATGGCAACCTTCAGGGTCAGTGAGCTGGGGGTAGATAGCTGTGCAGGGAGCGTGATCAGGGACATCCTCCCCTGAGAGCAACAGTTATCTCTGCTGAGCAGGGTCAGAGAACCCTTCCACCCCTCCCGGAGTAGCAGAGCCAAGCAGGTGACCAGAGGCGGTCAGGCCTCCGGATTCTCCCAGGGCAGCAGCCAGGAGGGGAGCTCTGGGAGATCCCAGCTGCCTGACTTTCCCCTGGTCTGACAAATTCCTTTGTTCAGGACAGTTTGGGTCCCAAGGGTGCCGGACCGGGGGGTTGGGTTCAACCTGTATTTAATCCATAAGTATTGATTTAGCTGTTCACATGTTAAAGGCAGCTCCGTGTTCATGAAATGTGACTTCAAAAATCTTAAATTTGTCCCCCACCCCCCAGGTGTTATGTAATATCGATGAACTGTTTGAACGGGAAGAGCTTTCAGCAGCTCCTGATTCTGGCTGGCCAGACTGCTTTAATAGTGGTGTGTTTGTCTTTCGACCTTCCTTACAAACCTATAACAACCTGCTGCAGTTTGCTACTGAGCATGGCAGTTTTGATGGTAAGTCTGAGCGAACATAGTGTAAAAAATTACCCTTACCCTCATAAGCCAATTTTCCATAACTGTAAAGAGCTGAGTGTACTACTTAGCAGAGCAGAAGGAAGAAATTATCTCTCAAAACACCGAAGGGGCAGATCCTCTGCTGATGCAAATTATTATAGCTCCAGTTCACGCTAGAACTGTGGATCAGAAAAGCTGAATTTATCTCTACCTCGCTACTAATTATTTCACTTAAACTTACTTCAAAACTATTCTTTCTCTTGTCTGTAAGTGTGCAAATTACAAGTGTGAATACAGAACAATAGCACAAACGTAGGGACAAAATCAGAAAGGCTAAGGTACACAATGAATTACACCTAGCCAAGGGACATGAAAGTCAATAAGAAGTATTGTAAATATATTAGGAGCAAGAGAAGGATGGAAAAGGGTAGGCTTTCTGCTTATTGGGGAAGAAGAGCTAACAGACAAACACTTCTGCCATCTTGATGTCATCTATCTTACCTTTTTAGAGAAGATTAAAGTAAATTGTTCCCAGATACTTGACACAGTTTACAACAAGGGGGAATAACACAAGCCAAAACAGGGGAAAAACAAGCTAAAAATATTTAATATTCAGGTCAATAGGGACTGATTAAACTCATCCAAGAGTGCTTCAGCCACTTTCTTACATAATCTCAGAACCATTGGTGACTATCTTCAAGAACTCAGAGGACAGATTTTTCCAGTGGACTAGAAATGAGAAAACAACTTATTTTTAGACCGGGAACAAAAAAGAATCCAGGAATTATAGATCATTCAGCCCAACTTGGGTACCTGAAAATATACTAGAACCAATTATAAGGTTCATAGCCAGCATGGATTTGTCAGGATGGATTATTTCCTTTTTTTGACATGGTTACTGGCCTCAGGGCGAAAGCTGTAAATGTGAGCACTTGGTTTTTTGGGGGGGGACAGGAGTTAAGCTTTTGGGGCTGTCTCACATGTCACTTTAGCAAAGCAAACTAGGAAAATTCCCTCTAAGGAGGGTGGAAAACTGGATAAAAGACTGTACTCAGGGTAATTATCAGTGGTTTGCTGTTAAACAGGAAGTAGGAATCGAGTAGGGTCCCAAAGAGGTACTAATCAATATCTTCAGTAATGATGTGATTTAAGAAGACTGGGACTTCTCAGCTTAGAAAAGAGGAGACTAAGGGGATATGATAGAGGTTTATAAAATCATGACTGGTGTGGAAAAAGTGAATTACTTATTCCCACAATATAAGAACTAGGGCTCACCAAATGAAATGAATAGGCAGCAGGTTTTAAAATAAGCAAAGGAAAGTTTTTCTTCACTCAGCTCAGTCAACCTGTGGAACTCCTTGCCAGAGGATGAGGTGAAGGCTAGAACTTTAACAGGGTTCAAAAAAGAGCTAAATAAATTCATAGCCTAGGTCCATCAATGACTTTTAGCCAGGATGAATAGGAATGATGTCCCTAGCCTCAGTCTCGGTTTCTCTGGAGGTGAATTACAGTGGAGTGATTACGTGAGGATTACCTGTTGCGTTCCCTCCCTCTGGGGCATCTGGCACTGGCCATTGCTGGCAGACAGGATACTGGACTAGATGGACCTTTAGTCTGACCCAGTATAGCCATTTTTATGTATCTCCTCCATTACGATCATGGAAGAGTGAGGCCCTTGACCATTTTCCAAACTCTTGGGCTGTGTCTACATTGGCATCCCTTCCGGAAAAGGGATGCTAATGAGACACTTCGGAATTGCAAATCCGCGGGGGATTTAAATATCCCCCGTGGCATTTGCATTTACATGGCTGCTGCTTTTTTCCAGCTCAGGGATTTTGCTGGAGAAAAGCGCCAATGAAGACTCGATTCTCCGGAAAATAAGCCCTTGAAAGTAGGAATAAGGGATCTTCCGGAAAAGGGCTTATTTTCCAGAGAATCGCGTCTACGCTGGCGCTTTTCTCCGGGAAAAAAGCGGCAGCCATGTAAATGCAAATGCTGCGGGGGATATTTAAATCCCCCACGGATTTGCAATTCCTAAGTGTCTCCTTAGCATCCCTTTCTGGAAAAGGATGCCAATGTAGACACAGCCTTGGAGTAGTCCCCCATCAAAAATTATTGTCCACCCGTGGGCTAGGCAGTAGTATTGCAGGAAAGGGTCTGGGGATTGTAATGGATGCCCCTGAATATGAATCAGCAATGTCATGAAATAGTGAAAAGGCTAATATCTTCATGGGCTATATTAATAGAAATGTTAATACATGGGAAGTAATTGTCCGGTTCTAGTCTTCAGTTGGGAGGCTTCAGCTGAAGTACCCTGACCAATTCTGGAGGCCACATTTCAATAAAGATGTGAACAATTTAGTGAGAGTCCAGAAGAGAATGAAAGAAACGATAAAATATTTGGAAAACCTGGCCAATGAGGAAAAGTTTAAAAAATAGGCATGTTGAAAGAGAAGGACTGAGGTTAAATCTGAGTTTTCAGATATGTGAAAGGTTGTTACAAAGGTTATGGTGAGCAAATGCTGAGAGTAGGAGAAGCAGCAATTGGCTTAATCTGCAGCAGATGTTAGATAGTAAGGAAAGCTTTTCAAGGATACACAAGCTGTGTAATAGATTTCCAGGGCAGGTTGTGAAATTCCCCATCACTGGCTGTTTTTAAGGATAGGCTTGACAAACACCTGTCAGAGATAGTCTAGAGATATACTTCATCTTGCCTAAGTGTAGGGGGAGGGGCTGAACTAGGTGACCTCTCATGGTCTCTTCCAGCTCAACATTTTTATGATTCCATGAACTCTTAACTTCTGTTTCCTCCTAGTCTTAATTATTTGGCAAGTTTTAT